TAGACAAGTGGGATCAGTCGGTAATTTGTGCGAGACAATATCAGTGCTTAATCCTGGCATGTCATCATAAGACCAAGCAAATACGTCAACATACTGCTTAAGCAATTCTATTAACTTTTGCTTTCTTTCAGCCTCCAAATGTATGATGACTCGTGTCTCCTTCACGATTTCCTCATCTCCTAAGTTGACAACCTCTGTTTCATCATATTGGGTTTCTTCTGACTTTCAACCTGCTCGATCTCGTGTGGCAGATTTTCAGGCATCATGCTTTCATCATACTCTTCGTGATCTTGTTCATCATTTTCACCTTGATCGGTGGATTCGTTACATTTCATAACCGTTGAACGAGGATTTTTATTAATATGAGTGCTGAAAAGTGCAAAAGGTAAGTAAAAATAAATAGATATTTAAAATAACGAGATTTTTTAAAAAGAAAATAAAGACTTTTATTTCAAAGCATTCTAGCTTTTAGAAGAGGCAAGCAACAAAAGATTGGGCATGATTCAAGCCTCAATTTGATCATGCGAATTTTTAAAAGTAAGACTACTTTTCCACACTACCAGGACTCTGGTTGGAACAGGGACGGGCTAGTGGTCCAATTCTGCAAGATTTCTCCAGGTTTGGCATCATGAATGGTCAACTTATTGAGATTTATCCCTTCCTCTTCTCTAGCCATGGCCACGAACAGATTGTCAAATCCTTCTACGATGTCATCAACGCCAGCTTGATCTGGAATCAAAGCTTGTTCTAGTACAAAGATAGTATCGCTTGACCCGTGACAGTCTCTTCTCGAGGCAGGCTCATATCCTAGTCCGTTGGTGCCTCTCTGATGCTTCAGCTGGATCGGCTCAACTATGCCATTGGACTTAGGTCCAAGTACATTCTTAGGCTGATATCCATACTTCAACATTTCTAATGCAACCATTTTCGCTGCACTTGACAACTTGGTATCTTCGGGCTATGCTCCCTCATTGACCCTTATAGCTTGCATGATTTCCAAAGTGTGAAAAGTGGCTCCGTCTAACTCGTCAGTGACTGGGATAGAATTAACAGAATGAATGGGGTGACTGAGTTCTCCGTGGATGGTAACTTCTGTGTGACCCCACTCAAACTTTACACATTGATGAAGAGTGGAAGGAACCGCTCTTGCCATGTGAACCCATGGTCTTCCCAACAACAGGTTGTAGTTGGATGATACATCCATCACTTGAAATAGAATGGGAAATTCAGTCGGCCCCACCTGTAATGTGAGATAGATCTCTCCGATAACACTTCTTTGCGCTCCATCAAAAGCTCTAACTTTCACACGACTTTCCTTTATCTCTCCCATATTAACACTTAAATCCCTCATAGTGGTGAAAGGACAGATGTTGCATCCAGAGCCACCATCAATTAAAACTCGAGTCATAATCTTATCACAACATTTGACTGCAATGTGAAGCGCTTTGTTGTGCCCAGCCCCTTCTGCGGGAAACTCATCATCGTGGAAAGAAATCTTGTTAGCTTCCACTATTCCTCCAATCGTTGCAGCTAAGGTCTCACTTGTAGTCTCTTTTGGAATGATCACTCCGCTTAACACCTCCATTAAAGCATTCCTATAAGCTTCAGAACTCATGAGAAAAGACCAAATGGATATGTGGGTTGGCGTCTTCTTCAACTTTTCTTCAACCAAATAGTCTTTAGACTGCATCTTCTTCCAAAACTCTGCGGCTTCAGCATCGGTAACGTTGTTCTTTGGATTCTGTTCGTTTCCAAGAGCTCTTTGATTTAGGTCCTTTGGGGCATAACACCTCCCCGACCTAGTCATCCCTTAAGCCACGACAGTGTCGATCATCTTGCCCTTGACACTTGCTCGATAGTCCGAAGGGACTGCTTTGGTGTCATACTCAGGCTTCTTAGTAATTAGAGTGGTCACTACAACTCTTGGGAGATATGTTTAGACAGTCAGAGGTTCCCTTAGTTGAACAGTGATAACAGGTTGCGCTGAAGATGTCATGGAATCCGCTTCATCTATATTTGAATAGTCGGGGGTCCCATATTCGTCAACCAGAGTAACCATGTTGACTTCCCGATTCTCATGGTTTGGCAAGGAATTGTTGTTCACATTGGGAGGTGCTGGACTGCATTTGATTACTCCTCTCCTGATCAAAGACTCGATATAGTTCTTCAAACCATAACAATCTTTTGTGTCGTGTCCCTGAACTCCTGAGTGGTAAGCACATCGCTTGTTCCCATCAAAATTACGAGGGATTGGATCATGAAGTTTTCCTTCAACTGGTTGCAGCACTCCCGCTGTCCTCAACCTCTCAAACAATTGAGCATAGGGTTCAGCAATCGATGTGTAAGCGCGGGCATTTCTAGCTTTAGGATTTGGACGTGGTCTCGGTGCATATGCTGGTGTATTTTGGTGGATTGGTGCTTGGACAGGGACATATGGTCTTGGAGGGTTTTGGTATGCTGGTGCTCGGGGTGGATTATAGTGTGGCTAGGTATTATACACTAGGACATATGAAGTATGCGCAGCGATTTGGGGATTATTGGGGTATCGGTGGGATGGTCCTCCTTGTTGGTAAGTGACAGCCGAAACATCCTCCATTTTCTTTTTGATGCCGCCAATGGAACCCGATTGTATAGCCCTACTTGCAGTTTGCAATGCGACCATAGAC